ATAAAATACTCGTAAAAAGTTTAAGTTTATTCCTTTTCCACAAACTGGCAGTAACATCAATATAATAGATTTTATCTGTATGAATTACAGTATTATTCTTCCATAAAATATATCTAGTCTATAAAAGAAATTTACTACATTCTCTCTTTTTTTTTAACATTTCGAGCAAAAATTTTAACGTAGGGTCTTATGTAAAATAAAAATTTGCATATATTTTTTTCTTCTGAGAATATGTAATATGTAAACACATGATGTTTTCTTTCACAGAATTCAAATTCCGTGAAAGAAATACGTCCTTTCGCAAATTGAATTTTACATTTTGAAGAATATGTTACATATAAATTTATCGAAATATAATATAACGTGTATAAAAACTGTTAATCCATTCACTAAAATTATATAGAAAGCATTAACGATTTTAATTTGCAGATAAGGAAGCATTTAGATGGGCGTGCATTGTGACTTAAACTGAAATCGGTCTGTTACTTCAATGTCTATATAAGAAATCATGGCATAAGTCAAAATAAAAAGCTAACTTCCTTTTTAATAATATAAAAAATGATAATCGCTCACACCATAGCAATATTTAAATTAATTTAAAACATTTTAATTTATTTTACAAGATTAAAATTAGATTAAATTCTTTTCGACAAAATATTGATAGTATAGTAATAACAGTCATGTAGACTATGTTGCAAATTCTTTTAACTGTTTATTAATATTTAATCATTATGCTACAATTTCTAGAGAAGGTTCGATATGTTTTTCTTGTATGAAGTTATAAATAGGTATTACGAGATGTAATTAGCTGTTAAATTGGTTATTAAATACATTGCATCGAGCCATTTACTTTTTACTTTATGAAAAACATTTTTTAAAATATTTATGAATTTCACGATTTTTTAATTCTATAAATCAATTAACAAATCAATCACGCAAAGGTCTACACAACACGAAGAATAGAATCTAAAATGATAAACAGGAAGGAACAATTTCGTACCATATAAATAAGAAAAAATTCAAATACTCTCGATTTGTGTGAATGCACCAATCGTGTTGGAAAAAAAAAATTATCATAAATAGCATTAACACAACAGAAGAATGCCGGTTTTATTTCTATTTCCCACAAAATATCCTTTCTTTTCTATTATTATTATTATTTTTTTGTTTTTCTTTTACGCAATGTTATACGATTTATATACATTTTGGGTATTGTTTGCAAGTTTTTAACTCAGCCGTTCGAGTTTTAACTTATACAGTCGCTACTTAATATAAAATCTCCATTAAAATTCGTTTTTCTCTTTATTTGGAATTCTTAACTCTTTTATTAAATTAAAGTTTCTTTAAATGTGTTAAAGTGTATAAAATCGGTAGTTCGGAAATAGAATAACAGACATGCTATCCGACATCTTACAATTTTTTTTTTTTTTTTCACCGTACGTAAATACGCACATTTAAGAAATTTATAAATTCTGAACAGTTATTATACGGATATATTATAAATTTAAGTAATTAGTGATTTCACTGTTCATTAACGTTATAATTTTTACTTCTATATCTAGCACTATTGATTTTACATTATTTTATATACTTCCTAGCCCGTATGAATCATTTACTTAAATACAAAGAATTTTAGAAAGTTTTCTTTAAAAATTCTTAAATATAGTTTCTATGTATATAAAGCAGTACAAAATATTATTTTTCTATTCTTTCCAAAAAAAAAGTTAAATTAATTTATCCGATTTTACATTTCTATACTATTTTATATTTATAAAATACCGCAGAAGTAAATAGAAACGGCTTAAGCAGATCTATGTTAAAATTTTCTGAATGAAAATACTCTTTACCCTTCGTCATCTTCGCCTTCTTCTTCCTCCTCCTCCTCTTCTTCTTCTTCAATTGCCTCGTTTTCTATTTCATTTTTCACAATTTCTTCATCATTTTCAATTGCCTCGTTTTCTCCTGTTTCATCTTTCACAATTTCTTCATCTGGTTCTTCTCTTTCCACTTCTACTTGCACCCTAGTTTCACAATCAGACTCGATCCCTTTATCTTCGTTATCGGAATATAATTCTAAAGTTGTTTCCATGATTTCGCTTCTGACATCCATGGTAAGTTACGAATATTCACCGTGTCGAAACTATTGTATATATCCGATTCCCACGTTACCAAGGGAGACCATGTGCCGCACATGCACCCAATCGGCGCGCGCATTCTAACAATTACACTACTGATGATAAGATATTTTCATTAGCGAACATCTTCGCAATTATACCACTTAATTTCAAAAACTTACCAGAAATTAGCTCCTTATATATAAATAAAATGTAATCGAATTTTTATCGGCAGCAAATTTCGTTACGGTTAATGAGCTAGTGTCAAGTATTGTAGTTAACAACGTTAATAAAATTAAAAAGCAAACGAAAGTTTATGGAAGAATTCAAATCTTAGATATATTATAATTTTCATATTAAAAAGAAATTAATTAAACCGAAAGTGTTTCGCTTTATATGGCAACATTAAAGGGTCGTTCGCGTAAGGCAGGATACGAAAGAATGCGAGTGTATTGGAAACAAATTCTCAAAAATCACCTTGAACTTAGCCTTCCATTGAGGACCACTGTGACCTTTCTTAATAAACCTCTGGTCAGTTTCCACATCTCAAAAGTCAGCAACATCTTTGTAACATAATAATGACCACACCCAAAGTATCGATTTCTTTTTCACTTTTTATCAAACTCGTAAATGTAGCATGAAATTATGTCTAGTATGTATGTATTTTAATTTATGTCAGCATTTTTAAAACATTTTTCAATCAAGATTTTTTGACAACTGTAAATTTAAATATTTAACAAACTTATTTCAGTATTATTAGTGTAATTTCCAAAAAAAACAAGACGATGTATATATAGATTTTTCATAAAATTAATGTCTTACGTATTTAGAAGTTATAAATTTATATATATATATATTTATTTAAAATAGTATCAGAATATTGATTAATCCTTCAGGTTTATCAATATGACCAGATCCATATTATCTAGGTGAAGTGGATCATTTGCCTAGATAATATAGATCTATATAGTCAAGAATAGTTCTGAAATGACCAACTTTCAGTAACTTTTAATAATTCAAGAAACAATTGTGTAAAGTTAAAACAATTCATTGCAAATGTTTGTATTTTTTAAAATCTAAACCACCATTCAGTTTAAAAATAGCAATGAATATTAAAACTTCAGAGGCATAAAGAGAAGACTTTTATAGCCTCTAGGCACTAATCTCTTATCAGCTCTTTAATAAACATATAAAGTGCCAAAGATTAAATGTTACACTAACACTAATATAAAAAAAATTTAGTTTTTTTTAATCATCTGTGCTTACTGTCAAAATAGAGAGGTTGAGGCGCACGTTTTAAACGTGTAAACGTGTACGTGTGACGTTCGGCGCCGCTTTCCCGTAAGTCTAAAAGTTTGACGATGGTGTTTGGAATGTCGAGCGTGATTCCACCGACTATCCAAACACCATTGTCAAACTTTTAGGCTTACGGGAAAGCGGCGCCGAACGTCACACGTACACGTTTAAAACGTGCGCCTCAACCTCTCTAATATAAACCTACGTACGCGGCCAAAACCCGCCGACGTGACCGGTTTAGTACGATTTGGCGGTTAAAATGTTTCTATTTACTTTACGAAACTTTTATCGACGAGAAACTTCGGAATAAAACTCGATATACTTTTCTTTGTCCGCGCTACGTAATTCCGGTTCCAAACTATTATTATTCATTTTTTCCGGAAAAGAAAAAAACTCGACCCGTTACTTCCGCTCGTTTAATTAATGACTACCGATATTTTTTAGCCATATCGACGGTTACTTCTACTAATAAATACGATTTAATAATTTATATACTTTCTAACGGTTTTAAATTCTCCCTTCGTATACGATTTAACTAATTAAACTTTACTAAGTAAAGTATTATATTTGACGCTCTTTACCGCCAATTTAAGGTAAATATATAATTTACTTAACACTTTGTACGTATAATACGTAGCGGTCGATGTCGGATTTTATTTCGAAAATTTAATCTTTACGACTTTTAATTACGCGTATAATTCTATAAATGCTTCGCTAAATGCTTATATATTTAAACTAATGGAAATGTCCGGTTTAATTTCCCATATTATATATTCGTAATTGTTTTTTTGTGTCCGATAGTTTTTCTTACGCAACCGACAAATATATCATTTCTCCGATAAATTAATGCGCCGATAATTACCAATTCAAAATGCTAAATACTTTCTCGTTTACGTCCTTTCTTAGCTTATTTATTTTACTTTTTCCCGCGTTTTAAAGCGTTACGTCCGCGAGGAAAATCGTGCAATAATAATAATTGAAATTAAAATATATTTAATTATCCCTTCTACGGTCGAGCGTTTATAAGTACTTAGTTTCGACGGTTTAAGGAGTATTATAGTAGTACGATCGTCGATAAAAACGGCCCGGACAAATTTCCCGTACGATGGTAGACGAATTATTAATTATAACTGGAATAGAGATTTGAATTTATCGGAAAAGTAGACTTTTTAAACAGAGAACGATAGGCTTTTATCGCTTAAATGAGCGCTTTAAGATAAACGTCCGTACTGTACTGTACCTACAAAATTATAAATTAGAAAGGGGCGTAGCTTTAGAAAAAGCTCTTTATAAATTAAGTTTTAATAAATTCGGTTATAATTTTACTAAAATAACTCTATCGTTGGCGATTTAAAAAGTGAAAACGTCTAGGCGACCTTGACTGATAACTTAATTTATAGTGGAATAATCTCTTCTAAATATTTGAAGACCTTTGCCTCTCCTTTAATAATAAACCAGCTTTCGATAAACGATTACTTTTTCTTTATCGTTTAACTCGTCGTTTTAACAAACTATAAATAATTCCCCAGTGTTTCGATAACTAAATTCTGGGTTTTGGGCGGAAGACGGACGGATAATTTACAAATTGTAANATATATATATATAGGTTTTTCAGTTGACAAGAGATTCTCGCTTCCGAATAAAAATAGCGCATTCACTTAAAAAATTTTCTTAGGAAAAGATTCTTCTGTTTTTAAGATTTAATTTTAGTACAACAATTTCAATGAAAAATAACAAAAGTAAATCACAGATTTATTTGTGATTATTTTTATTCAACAGTGAATTAAAAAGAGACTTTCGGTTGCCTCGTCGACGAGTAAATTTAAACATTTTTTTTTATAAATGATTTTTATCGTTATTATTTTTTATAAATAAATTTTATTATTATATAAGAGTTTATAAAATTAGTTCAATAGTATTTTTTTTTTGTCCGTGGATAAATTATCTGGAGTTATTTACATTTATCTATCTAAATACAATAATTTTGGAAGCATAATATTTATTGATTTGATAATTGTGCTAGATTCATGTGTGCAAATTTTAAACTTTTATGCGTTTTTTATTCAAATCATTATCAACTTAGTGTTGTGTATAATAAATAATAGAGAAAAAACATCAATTATATTTCCATAAAAAATATTAAAATGTGACCATTTAAAAGTTCCATTAATTGGTGTGGCCACTTATTAAAAGAAAAATTACGTTTTCTTTTAAAAAAAAATGCATCCACATGATGTATAAGATAATAAATGGCAAAAACCCTCAATAAATACAAGAGCAATTGGTTACGATCACTTGTTACCTTTTAATTTTGTTTACATTTTGTGATCTATTTAATATTCTTTGGTTTGAGCTTTTTCTAATAGAGGAGGAGGAGGATTTTGTTAACAATAAACCTATCTATTTGACCTATGTTACTATGTAACCAAATTAAAAGTACAGCTCTCAGATTAACCATATAAATCCAATTGACTAGTTTTTAAAAATTTTAGCACATAAAACTATATATAAATAATATTAAGGAATTATCTGAGTTATGAACTAGAAAAAACATTGCACAAACAAAGCAGTTTTACAACTACTTGGTCTATCTGTACATAAAGGTGGATTCATTCCATAAAATTGAAAGTTCTTACAAAAATGATCTGTTCTATTATATTTACTTCAAACAATTCTAAAATAGTATCTATCTCTTTGGTATAGTCGATGAGCCGTTGACGATCTGATGCAGACAGAGTTCATAGTCTCGCCTGTCGCCCCATCCTCCGTTCCCTTTCTGAGGTTTGTAAGGTCTGCGCATTCCTTGGCGAACGCTTAGTGAGGATGGAAATAAATATTGTTTGGCTGAAGCCAGTACCTTTACTACTTTCTGGACAACTCTGTCACTGCTGCAATCTTTTCCTCTATGATGAACACCACTGTTTTAAAATAAAAATTTTAAGTTATATGACAATCAGAATGTTACAACTGAAAATATAAATAAATAATTGAAACAACTTATTATTTGTTTTAAATTTAGATTATTAATGAAATGAATACCATTTTATAGGAAATATAAGGGGGAAAACATAATAATAATAATAATTCAGGCTGTAATGAATAAAGCTACTATATCTTATTTACAATACTTTATTATTAAAAGAAGAATTAAAATTTTATCATCTGCTGAAATGTACTTAGTATTAAAGTTTTATTTATCTAAACTATTTTGAAAGAGATTGAAAATTCGAAGATACTTAGATTATTGAGAACCAAGTTCATTTTTTAAATAATAACAATAATCTTCATTTTTTACAACAAGTTCTTTATTAGCAGTATAAACTGAAGGATGTATTTTAGTATTAAAATGCTTTCCAGTTTTATAATAAATACATTTCCATAAAAATAAAACAAATAATAGATAAATATAATGATTAATTCAAATAAAACAAATTCATATTTTAATTTAATTTACTAATTAATTTGGCAATAAAAATAGTGTTGCCGTCTTGTAATAAGTGTAATGATTAGAATTTCATAAATTAATAAATTAGAATATCTATTAGAAAAGATTAAGCTAAGTGGATTGAAATCTGAAACCCCCCACAAGCCAAACAGATATGTTATTAGTTGCACTGTAGGTCTTTCTTCTGATTTTGGCATCTCCATACATATAATTTAGAATTATAATATAGCCATACAAGTCAATGCATAAATCTTGCAAACTGGACAAATCTGTCCAAAAAGTTATCATGCTATGTATATACAGGTCTTTCATAAATTATAAAAACTTCCTGGTTATACTGAAATACTAACATCTTTATAACATTGATATGAAACTGCTATATGAATTGCATAAACTCATCAAGTTTATGAAGGAATTTAGTAAGTGTTCAATAAGCCTTCTGCTAAAGATGTAACAGAATGAAATTCAAATTTTTCTCCACAATAATGGCTTCACCTCTACACAATTAAACTCACATACATTAAAACATTAGAATTTTATATGTAAGAGTCAGTCAGATATAGAGCTTGCAAAATATCTAATATTAGAAATTTCCCTGTCAAGCATGATGTAATACTTTTTATGAGAAAGTAGAGATTTCAAGAAATTCAAGAAGAGTTGTTAATATAATATTTTGACCAATTAAGTAGTTTATACTATCTGTTGTAACATAAAGAACAACAAAACAAGATTTCACCTGAAGTGGACAAAAATAATAGGAGTTATAGAGAATTTATTTACAAACAGATTTAGGCCTTTATATTAAAATAATATTAAAATCTTTCTTTATAAAATTTCTTTATACACTACATTCTGAGTAAACATTCTATTGTCTTTTAAAAGATTTTCTTGCTGTCTTCCTTTAGTAATATACAGTACACCTTTATAATGTTTCGATGATTGACATTGTGATGCTGTTTCTGCAACCCCCGGCAAAGCCATTCTTATTCAATGTTGCCCAAGTTGCACTTCACAGCCTTCAGGGGTCATGGTTATTCTTATTCTTTTAGATCTAGAATTTACCTGACCAATTTTACTCTTAATCTTTCCATAGGCATTTCTTTTTGACAAAATAGCAAGTCTTTTTAATTCCATATTGATAAAACAAAAATTAATTGTATGTATGACTGTATGTTAGATGAACAGCACTTTTGTTAGATTGTTACTTCTAATTGGATAATAGAATGTCATGAGGTCACTACGAAAAGAACTTTTTAAAAATTTGTTATAGAAGCAGCTATCTTTTTTTAAAGTTTAAATTTAATGAAGTTTATAATATGCCATTTGCCAAAATATTTAAAAATGCAACTTAAGGGAAATTCCCTTGTCAAGCATAAACTAAATGAGATCACTGATGTCACTGCAACATAAGTACAATCACCAATCAAAAATTGATAAAATGTTTATTCTTAATAGTATATTTTCACAAAATATGCAGACTATACTCTCCGTCAGAACATAAAACGAATATAACCAAAATTTCATCTGGATTGGACAAAAATTGTAGGAGTTGTAAGGAATTCATTCATTCACACTCACAAACACACAACAGCTTTTAAATTAGTAATAAGAGGGTAATGAACTATACTGGAGAGATGTGACTTTAATAAAATGAATCTGATCCAAAGCATGTTTATTGTTTGGGAGTCAACAAACAACAAACATAGCCCTATCAACAATCCCAGGTATTTTCTGTCAGATTAGTGGTTGATCATATATTAACTTAGATATTATCATCTTAAATATAATTGTGTTTTAATCTGCTTGAATCAAATTTACATAAAAATTGTAATCTGTCAACATGAGACATAAGCATATTAAGATTACATGACCAACCACAATTTCATCAATTACAGATGAACAGAGGAAAGTATAGATGAGAGATACAAAACAATACCTTGACCAAAATGATCCATTGTAAATTATGGGATATCAAACTGGATTTGGACCAAATTCCCTACATATTTGTATATTAACATCTTAATCATAATTATCTTATCACAATTAAAATGATTGATTTGAACTCTGATTTTATCTATTCCAATAATAAGACATTTTAAACTAAAATTAATTAATCAAGGCATCAGTGATTATAAACTAACCAGCTTAGTTGATCAAATTAACTAAACTAAATCCTTATAAAAGATTAAAATTATAATTTGACAAATTGTATAAACAAAAGGAAACTTAGTATACATTACAATATATTATTATATACAAAATTGTTTATATTAATTAGAAATAATCTTAGAAAGTAAAGGAAGTAGTATTACTATAAATTTTAAACTAGTTCTTTTACTTTCTAAATACCAATAAATCACTAAAAAATTATTACTAAGGAAAGAAATAATGTTTCATAATAGTAAAACAAAAAAAAGTAAATAAATTTCAGCTTTGTTTAAAATATTTTAATAAAGTCTTTAACAATAGTAAATTATCTAATTTTAATCTGATATAAGAAAACAGGAAAAAATATATAAAATTATGAAGTCCAATGCATTGGTATACAATATAAAAGGAGGGAAGAGGGACTATTTGTTTCAGTTTGATTTTGAAAGAAGATTATGAATTGAAAATAATTTCAAAATTAAAACTCTAGCATCACTTTCCTAATGAAAAAGTATAAAAAAACCCAAAAATTACAATAATAAATTGTAATCACTGGCATGAGCAAAGTACACCCTATTGATATAATTAAGTCTTAAGACAGTCAATATTTAAAATGGTACAACATAATTATTAATTAATATTCATAAATATTTTCACCTACATTACACACACACTTAATCAAGCTATCACACAGTTTTAGATTACTTATTTTATCCCTAACTGGGATTCTGTCAATGTTATAAAGCAAAAATAGACAAATGCACACCTTATTTCCTGTTAAAACAGTTGAATATACTTTGCTGTGATCCAATAAACACAATTAAATAGTTCATATTAAAAATTATATTATTCAATGGAATCAGTTATTTAGTTAAAATTGAATTTAAAAATATAACTATAATTCTAAAAACTTTTAAAAAGTAAAAATATATAGAATATAGTTTCCGAGTTAAAATACTCAATCGGCAAATTCTGAGGAATGTATTAATGGTTTAACTGTTTCAAACAGTTAAACCACATGAAAATAGAAAGATGTTTATTTTACTTTTTTCTTTACTTTTAACTCTGAAACTGTATTATATATATTTTAACTTTTTTAAAAATTTTTAGAATTATAGTTATTAAGAACTATTGAGTTGCCTTTTACAATTATTTCTGCTGCAAATTCCCCATTCATTTTGTATAAGCAGAATAAAATTTCTTCTATTTTATGTTCATTAATGAATATTCACTCAAAAGTTCTTATAATATAAAGGAAAGGATTTGCATGTGCTACTAACTCAACTTATTTTGCACCAATTTCAATGTGTTAACTACTTATGTTAAGACTATTATTTTATTACTATAATCATCTTCAATTATTATACACTACAAATTCAAATAATTTTGTTTAATTGAAGTCAAATTATTTTTAGAAAGCAAAAGCTTTAAAATTTCATTAAAAAAAATAGACTTCAACAGGTATTTTATTTACAATTCCAGTAAATTCAGTTTTTAAAATTATACAAATTGACATGTTACTGAAATTTAACTGTCATTATTCTAATTAAACAAATCATATAATTCAGTTTTATAAATTAAAAATTATCATTATTAAATATACTCAATGACAAAAAGTTATGCACAGATTAGTAATAATTGAATAATTGGACAATTCTATGTCTCAGAGAGGTTAGGAAATAGGTTACAACTAAATAGAATAAAATCAAAATTTTACTAAACTCTCTTGTTTTTAAAGTTATAAAAAAGAAAGCTATATCAAGTAACTAGTTAACTCCATCCATTCATTTTTCTGCAACAGTGGATGAATTTTAAAGAATGTTACTGTAACATTCTTTTGAGATATCTACATTTTAATGGTTTTTTAACCTTGAAATACAAACAATTCGAAGAGAACTTACCTACTTTATTCTCATTTACTTTTTGCCATTATTCATTATTTAAAGTAGGGGTCAGCAACATTTTTGTTACTATGGGTGCAATAAAAAAATTAAAAACCATAGAGGGCGCATAGTTTAAGTTTTGAAAAAAAAAAAAAAATCACAATGCTATAATAAATAAACAAAATAATTATTTTCTGAAATATGTCTATATACAAAATAAAGATTATACATGCATTTAATAACTAAAAAATGAAAACCAAAAGTACATACATAAAATAACAAAATCAAATTAGAAGTATATATACATATATATATGCACTTGCGTGTCTATGGTTCTAGTGGGTACATCTGAGATGTGCCATGGGTGCCATGTTGCCGACCCCCAATTTGAAGTATTTATTATTTATAAAAACTAAGTCTTGATGGTACTATTTTTTCATGATGTTTACATCTTTTCAGTATAATTATAATAATTTCATAGTTTGGAATGAAATGATTATAATTATATTTCAAAAATAAAATGAAGTAACAAATATACACTTATAACCCATCAGTTGAAAAAAAAATGAAATTTTAAAATTTAATAAAAACATTAAATCTTATCATACCATTCTCCAATATGAAAAACTCTAGGTGCCATAGCAACCATTGCAGTTAAATGTGTAGGCAAACAGGCTGTACTAATGTGTTGTAGGGACCAGTCCCAGTTATAATCATCAAATTTACAAAATGCCTGTAAATGAAAATTTAAACTAGAGTTAGCATATAGTTGATTTAAAATTATTCACATACACATATTTCTAAAGTATTATTTATGATCAAGTAGCAAATACAATTAACTTACATGCTTTTATATAATCAATCTTAGTTTTAATACTTTAAAAATGTCTTTGTTTTTTTTGCACTAATTAAAAAGAATCCACATACGCAAAATGAATAAATATATTCGGTCCATTTTTTCTAATGAATCAGTGTGAATCAAAATGGCATTAATCTCTTTGTCATTTGTAAACAGAGTTTCTGATTTAATGCGCGTAGAGATGTTTTAATTAATAATAGGAAAATTAACTAAATGCTTGTAACAGCCAACATAATTTCTTTTCTATTGTATTTATATATTAAATGAAAATGGAAATTATAACTGATGCTTATATCACATTGTCCTATAACTTATATTCATAATAACAACATTATATTCTTATTAATTAAGAATTATTTTATTGAAAAATTGAGCTTTTTGAATTAATTCTTTGTATCATTTCAAAATACTACATTTTCAATATTTTGAAACAATATATAGAATTGTTACTATTATAATTAATTTCAAATTAAAAATTTTTATTAATAAACTAATATTTGTACAAATAAAACTAGAAAATATTTTGTGAATGTAAATTAATGAACTATAAATTTAAGACTAATTTTATTGATATTTAACAACGCAAAAATAAAATTCACTCCATTCCTTTGCTCATATGAGAAAATATTTTATAGAAATTTATGCAAATTTTAGATTGTCATTGCAAACATACTGACTACAGTACATTATCTCATAATATAACATAACAATTGGATTGCTAATTTTACACCTTTTGAAATATATGAGAAAAAAATGTTGTGTTGGCAAAGATATGGATCACAGCTACATCCAATAGAGTTTGGACTTATGATTGTTAATACTTGAAGTAAACAAAGAAGTTAAGATTATAACAGAGACCCAGGTGGTAAATTTTCTAAGCCCAGGTTTTCAGTAGTTGGACTGTCCTTGTTTCTCTATATGGCCAAGTGTTGTCATTAAAATTATTATTTTCTATTATAAATAGATTTATAAATGAAAAAAATAACTATTAACTTAATTCTGATTAGATATTAACATTAATGAATAATTTCTACTCACTTTTAAATAACATATAGTAAAATATTACCTTAGCACATTTTTTGATTTTATTCCATAAAGACCGAGTGAATATCATTCCCATATTATGCTTACTAGACAACCATTTCACAATTTCCACCTGTAAAGTCAATTATACAAATTATTATTTAGTGCAGTAATTACTTTATTATTTGATACATGATACAAAGAGATTCTGAGCTTTTTATTATTAATATCAAGGCTACTAGAAAAGGAAGGGAGGCTCCTAGTGTGTAAAATACTAGGTATAATCTAGCGGAAAGGTGCTCAGGTTGGCCTCATCTACAAATTTTGTTTGCAAGAGAACAATGATGACTTATAATTTTACACACAAATTTTCAATGAATTAAGGGCTAGATAATAAGATGTAGTTTATATATATTACATTTTAAGTTATAGAAATATTATGAACTGCACAAGCAGCAATTTGTTTTACTTTTCTGGCTGTTATGTATAAAACATGGGAAAATATTCATGTTGTACCAAATTTGATCCTTCAAGTGTTTTGCAAATCTCCATATTCTGAGACCTCTATTTTGGTTCTATTTCGTTTAATATCTCAGGATAGGGTTAAGATTAAGAAATGAAATTTGTCATAGTAGCTTATGTATAAGGGGCATTGATGCTATTAAATTTTGGTGGTTAATGGTCAAGAGGATGGGAACATAGAGGTGGTTGTGTGTCACATTTCAGGTGGGAATGAACTTAAATCTTAATTGTTATTGACATTTGTAATATTTTTAAAATTAATCTCTGCCCTCAAAATTAAGCAATTAGCTTTATTATTATAATTAATAATATAATAGTTATCATCTCTTTTTTTAATAAAATTGCATAAAAATGGCACCACACACAATTTTAAACTTTGATAATATACAGTATTTCTTAAACATACATTTTTTACTAGTAAACATCTGCAACTTGTTGCTGGATTTTTTCATTTACAATCATGTTATTTCTTATTCTTGTATAATTTTTTATTGTTTTTAATTATGTATTATTTATTAATAAACTAAAGGATCATCCAAAATGAATGTTACCAGTTTGAATTACTGTAATTATGTTAATTATTACCAGAGAAGTATGTGCTGTATACCAATCGATAATGTAGCTGTTAAAATTTTGTCTCCCATCTACATTCAAACATCTTGTCTACTGTCTTAGGAAATTTTGTAAATAAAAATGGCAACTTTGCAACAGAAGGCGTTTTGTGTTCTGCAGTTCTTAAAGTTTAAATCATTCATCATTGTGCAACATGAATAATCTGCAACTGTATTCAGCAGCTAAATTGTAGCTGCTGTGGGAGGAATGACAATGGATATGCCATAATGTGTGAAGGAAGAATTTGAGTATTGGTTGGGTGTGTGCCATGTGACACAAGGTGCAGGAATTGAGAAACTGTACTGGACAAATGTAAAATTTAGACAATTTTCTAACATATTGAAGTACATTTCAATGTTCTCGGATAATAATTGTGAAAGTCCATGCCAGTTATTTCGATACAAAAATCAATATTTGTATTTATATTAAGTTTTGTTAAGAAGTTAAAGTCAACAAGAAAGTTCATAAGATCTTATTTTGTTTTTCTTTCCCTTCCAAGTGACATCATCCTAGGATGACTACTCATCCCAGGAAGTTTGAAAAAAAATCTTGGGTAACTCCCTGACTGATTTTACCAAATTTGATCAACAGTCAAAAGTTCAATAAGATCATTTGGAGGCAATAGAAAGTGATCGCTTGAGGAAGAAGGGTTCTCCTACCGAGTTTGCCTTTTTGGTGTGTGCTCACCATCTCTCCCTAGGATACTGTCTCTATCACATATAACATCTCCCATAACTGTCTTCTGTCTCACCAACAAAAGTATTCATATAAACTGTGTTCACAGAAACTGTGAAAGAAAGGTCCAAGACATTCCAGGTATTTGGCACTTTTTATTAATTTTTAATCTGATTACACTTCTACAAATTTCTAACAAATTGTTATAGCTAAGCAGAATAACATACTTATCTTGTACACTGTAAAACTATCTTCTTTTCAACTAACTTTTCTCTCTATCATGCAAAATATTAACTTTTAAAATTTTCCCAAAAATTCTTGCTTGAATAATTTTGTCAATTCTGAGATTCATGTCAAAAAGTATCTAAATTTTTTACCAAACATATTTTCAGAACAGATATTGTTTATTATAAAATGTTTACATTTTCCACCATTAAACATAAATATAACAATCATTAAATATATAAAACTATACAGTTTTAGCAAAACAGTTTTGAGATAAACAGGATTTTCAATACTGAGTAAAAAAATTTTGAGAATATTGTAATATTTTCTCACTTATTACTTTTCTCAAAATTCCTTAATTATTACAGTTTTGTAATATTTTTTCTTTTCAAATTTAATTAATGATATGAACAAATTTTGCAGCTGGCTATAAAATTAAAACATATTTTATGATGTAAAGCAGAAATATTTTGTTGTTGAACGAATAATATCTGTACAAATTTATAGCTTTAATAAAAATGTTCTCCTTTTACTATTCAACAAGAAATGTTATAAATGCAAAAGCAAAGTTTTAACTTTCTGCATCTTTATATATGAAGTAGATTAATCAATCTAATTATAATTAATTTTTACCACATACTTTTTCAAAAGAGACTGTGACATAAAAAATTTTACATTTACTACATGTATAAATTGGTTTTTAAAAGTAATATAAGAACTGAGTATTTATTTTGGCAAGCTTGTTTTAAAATAGTAAACATGTTTGAATGATGTCAACTTACACTATTTTCTAAGTATATTCTTCAATATATATTAAACATAAATTGTTAACAAATGGTCATACCTGTTTACTGAGGGCACCATAATTGAAGCTCTTCACGTAAGTGCCAAGGCACAAGATGTTACAATGCCGACAACGTCTAAAAATAAATCATTTGTACATACTTAAATAATTTAGAGTTTTTTTTAATATACTATTTATCTTTTTATTATAAAAAGTCTGATATAAAAGATATTTATTACATTTCATATACTAACAAAACAAATATCAGATTGTTTTGTTAATTGAATTTATATTTATATAAATAAACAACTTCTAAATAATAAAAATATCTTACTATAAACATATTTTGAAACTCTTAAGCAATTTTTATTTTGCATTCTATTTATAAATAGAATTACAGTAGTTTTTTTGCTAAGGACTATTTTACTAATTCATAATTTTTATTCTGTAAATTTTTTTCTTTGGAGAATTATTGTTTAAAAAATGAAGACAAAATCTGCCCAAAAGGGATCATCAGATCACCATTTATTTCAGTGTTTCTCAACCTCTAACGAATCGTCACCCCCTTCACTTCAAAATTCCGATGCCCAGGGCAACTAACGCCAAATTCGTACTGCATTGAATAGACTAGTGACTAGTATAATGTTATTTGTTTAATTATTGTACGATATAATGAATAAAACATCTAATTATTTTTAATATAATGTTTTACTATATCACCCAGAAAGTTGTTTTTTGTCCCCCAAAATATAAATTGTTACTAATAGCCCCCTCAACATGGAAAAATGCCCACATGGGGGCAATATCGCCCCCATTGAGAAACACTGATTTATTTTCTCTGTGTTCCAAGACTACACTCTTAATAATTTTTAGCTTTAATTTTCACATCTTATTCATAACAAAAACATTCTGCCATCAGAAGTTAAGGCTACTTTCCAATTTACGAGAAAATGTGAAGTGAAGCAATATATTTCTATTAATTCTCTCTTCTCTATAAGTTTTTAAAAATTTATGTCCTACTGTATGATATAATAAATTATAAACACAGTCTAACCTTAATTTAGTGCCAGTATTTCTTTACCTCTGAAGTTAGTTGTAAACTATATAGCAGTAAGCTGAAGTATTACAAATAATGAGAACTGTGTATAGTAGTCTCTCTCTACATACAAGTTTGAGAGCTGAAAAGTTGTGATTTGATGATAATGCTGTTTGCAAAACAAAACCATATGTTTTGTACTTCAAATTTACTGAAAGATTCTCTATTTAACATTTATGAGATTGGTCCATAAGTATTTGTAGGCAGATTTTGAAGATGGAACTATTTTGGACACAATTCAGGTTTGACTATATTATAAATTATTTAGTTGTTTTAAAACTCCTAGCAAAATTATCAGTATATTATATTCATTGCCTTCTTTATAGCAGAAAACTGCAAACGGAATTTCATTGTATTGTGTTCTTGTACATCCATTTACAAAAATTCAAAGAAAACTGATGACAAAAAGTCAAATTTCTTAAATCATTTGGTAAATACCAACATTATTCCTAATTAGAATTTATTTAAATCAAAGACAAATATTTCAAAATCTTTTCAAAAAATAAGTTTGAATTATCATTTCATTCTCTTCTCAATAGGCTTGGCCATTTTTATTATATTAAGTAGGTTCAGATTGCCAGGAAGTAAATTTCGTAACATTCATTGAAGCCTGTACCCTAATTGGTCAAAATAAAATAAAATTGCAGAACAAAACCTGTAATATTTTTCTACTAAGTTTTTGTTCATGTTCTGGCAAACAAAAAATATTTTCACACTGTTTTCCTGTTTCCCCATCTCAAAATATTTTTTGTTAATGTAAAAATTATCCTTTATATCCTTTTATTAAAAGTCAAATATCAATTTTATAATGCTTCTTAACATTTCTAATAAGTAAAATAAATCTCAAAATAGGATTACAGAATCATAATTATTTTACTTCATATTGATGGATAATTTCAGAAATGCCAATATTTGACTAATTATTTAAAAAATGCCATGTATCATATATCCAAACAAGAAATTACTTTGAGGAAGTTAACTTTGTTCAAATTAATCTGATCAGAGTTACACCCAGAATTTGAAAATATCCTTCAGATGAAACTTTATCTATCACTCAAAGAAATTAAAAGAAAAAATAAAAAACATTCAATGTAATAAGTTTCATATTATTTAAGTAATAGAAATGAATTATACAATTAAAATTTTTTGTCTGAATTGGAAAAAGGAACTGCTTCAAAACTTTTAGTATGAAAAAATAATTAAAACAACGCAGCTGCTTTCTTAAGGAGATAGAGTGTATATTAGTTTAGTGTAACTATATATATATATATTAGAATATATTAGTATTAGTAAAAAACTGGAGCTTACTGTTTTTGTTCTGCTTCCATTAGACTCAACATCACTAGAAAATCGGGTGCAACATAATGATCTTCTTCCAACAATAAAACGGGTCCCGAATGATTTCTTGTTATAAATAAAACATCCATTACATGATTCATCTGAAGTTATTAAAAGAAATTTGTTATTAGTATTAAAGATACTAAACTCAAACATAATATTAACTGTATATATAATCAATATCACGAAATACTGATTGCATACACAATGTTGGTTGTCCATGCTGTGTAAAGACGTTTACAGGAATTATTTAGAGGATGGTTTATAAGATACAGTAGAGCGTCAATTATCTGAAAGTCAATTATCCGAAAGAATTCCAGTCGCAAATTTAAATTTTTGCCAATGCTGTGGCACTGCAATCTTTGGCTATGTCTTGGGCTACTCAAATATTTTACGTTTTTGATACTAAATTAACTTCTGAAGTATAATTTTTTATTGTTTTTATATTTTTCAATATATTTATTTTGTTTGTACAAAATAAAAAAATAATTTTTAACGATACAATAGTCTTTGTTAGGCTTAACATCAACGAAAATTCAACNCCACTTTATCTTTCCACATGAGTTTGATTCTTACACCATTTGTTTTTGTACAATGCTGCACTGTACAATGCATGGGAGCTCTTCTGGCAAGAGATTCACTTCACTAACCAAGACTTAATAATGGTTGAAAAGTCTGTTAGAACATTTTGGGATGATAAATTATTGAATAAATAGGTATTTGTTTTTTTTTTTTTTTGTTCTTTGTTGGTAAATCCCCATATTATTGTTTTTTCTTTGCTTTTGTATTGTCTAATATCTTAATATAAAAGGAATTTATATTGAGGTAGAACAAATGAGAAAATAATTGATAATTCTTTGTTATTAACTTCCATAATTCTAAAATAGATTGATACAGCTTTCAGAAACTGTTTGCAATGAATTTTTTTCACAGAAAATGGCTTGAATAAATGGAGATGAAAATTCTGACAAACTTATCACTGTTCAAATATGTGAAGGATTTTTAAGATCACTCTTGTAATATATCTGGTTAGAATATTCATAACTTGCAGTCATCTATTGCAGAACATCAATAATGCTTGAAAACGTGACCAGAGGGTCGGCACTTCTTTAGTGCCTCGTCAGGACTGACACTACTGTGTCTTCTAGTATAGACACAGAAAGACACAGAAACCTTAACGACCTCAAATTCGGAATTCATGCGAGCGGTCACATGTGCAGGCGATCGGATTCAAGATGGAGGAGGATTGAGAGACAGTGTATCAGAAGTGAATCACTCAGATACCAGATTAACAATCAATAACAATTTAATTTCAACAGAAAGGAGTACATGATACACTACAATAGACATATCAGGATATATATATATCCTGATATGTCCTGATATACATATATCTATCCTGATATATATATGTATATTTAGCCTATTAATCTAGTGGTTGTGAGAGAGAGAGTTTACGTGAGATACGCACCTCGATAAATACCTTGTCGAGAATCTTGACATGGTGCAAGCCAACTGGGTCAAATGGGAGAAGGTTCTTGAGGGCAGTTCTTACTCCAAGTGCACAATAGATTTTCAGCCATCTGTAGAACAAAATCCATAAGGATGAATTGATAATGTAAAAGAATGATGAATCTGTATAATCCACTGGTATCTGATGATTGAAGCTCAGGGAGATGCTGGATAACTCACTAGAGAAACTGGTGACAACTTTTTACAATGGTTCAGAACCCACACACCTTAGAAATCGAGTTGATGACAACTGCTTCGCTTGTCCTCCCCTCTTTCTTTTTATTAGGGGGCTTTTCTTGGGTTTTTCCCATGACTTTGCTAGAATTTTTAGTACATCGAGACCAATAGTCAAAATTTCGCTCGTGGGTTCTGGGTGACAAATTGAATGTGTTACCTCCTACAAGGAAACAAGTCTGTGGGAAACAGTTTTAATTGTCAAAGACAATTAAAACTGTTTCCCACAGACTTGTTTCCTTGTAGGAGGTAACACATTCAATTTGTCACCCAGAACCCACGAGCGAAATTTTGACTATTGGTCTCGATGTACTAAAAATTCTAGCAAAGTCATGGGAAAAACCCAAGAAAAGCCCCCTAATAAAAAGAAAGAGGGGAGGACAAGCGAAGCAGTTGTCATCAACTCGATTTCTAAGGTGTGTGGGTTCTGAACCATTGTAAAAAGTTGTCACCAGTTTCTCTAGTGAGTTATCCAGCATCTCCCTGAGCTTCAATCATCAGATACCAGTGGATTATACAGATTCATCATTCTTTTACATTATCAATTCATCCTTATGGATTTTGTTCTACAGATGGCTGAAAATCTATTGTGCACTTGGAGTAAGAACTGCCCTCAAGAACCTTCTCCCATTTGACCCAGTTGGCTTGCACCATGTCAAGATTCTCGACAAGGTATTTATCGAGGTGCGTATCTCACGTAAACTCTCTCTCTCACAACCACTAGATTAATAGGCTAAATATACATATATATATCAGGATAGATATATGTATATCAGGACATATCAGGATATATATATATCCTGATATGTCTATTGTAGTGTATCATGTACTCCTTTCTGTTGAAATTAAATTGTTATTGATTGTTAATCTGGTATCTGAGTGATTCACTTCTGATACACTGTCTCTCAATCCTCCTCCATCTTGAATCCGATCGCCTGCACATGTGACCGCTCGCATGAATTCCGAATTTGAGGTCGTTAAGGTTTCTGTGTCTTTCTGTGTCTATACTAGAAGACACAGTAGTGTCAGTCCTGACGAGGCACTAAAGAAGTGCCGACCCTCTGGTCACGTTTTCAAGCATTATTGATGTTCTGCAATAGATGACTGCAAGTTATGAATATTCTAACCAGATATATTACAAGAGTGATCTTAAAAATCCTTCACATATTTGAACAGTGATAAGTTTGTCAGAATTTTCATCTCCATTTATTCAAGCCATTTTCTGTGAAAAAAATTCATTGCAAACAGTTTCTGAAAGCTGTATCAATCTATTTTAGAATTATGGAAGTTAATAACAAAGAATTATCAATTATTTTCTCATTTGTTCTACCTCAATATAAATTCCTTTTATATTAAGATATTAGACAATACAAAAGCAAAGAAAAAACAATAATATGGGGATTTACCAACAAAGAACAAAAAAAAAAAAAACAAATACCTATTTATTCAATAATTTATCATCCCAAAATGTTCTAACAGACTTTTCAACCATTATTAAGTCTTGGTTAGTGAAGTGAATCTCTTGCCAGAAGAGCTCCCATGCATTGTACAGTGCAGCATTGTACAAAAACAAATGGTGTAAGAATCAAACTCATGTGGAAAGATAAAGTGGTGGACATCAATAACATTTGAAAACATATTGCCTTATATTTGGAAATGATAAGGATTTAAGGATTCACAACATATGCACAGATTACCATATATTTCCGCAGATAAGACAAGGTATAAATTTTTGTCAAAGTTTTATAGTTTTAACATATATCTGTCCTATAAGACGACCCCAAACTATCAATGGCCTATGAATTTAGTTTAGATCAGCAATCATCTGGACAATAATACTGTATAGCATATATAGAATTATGTCCTATTTGTAATTTTTCGAGTGAACAAATTTTATTTTCTTGCATCTGGCAGTACTGCCTTGCTATTGTTGCAAACATTCACACTGATTCAGGCATTTGGGTAATAACCTTGACTATTCACAAAAAGTCATATGGGCTATTCTATTTTGTGGACATACTCTACTCTCTACCAGTAAATAATTGCAGTTTGTCGGTTTTTTATAATGGTTTTAAATTTATATAAATTTCAATCTATTTTTTTTTGTATCTGCCCTATAAGATGACCCCGGATTTTGGGGACCATTTTTTATGATTCAACTATCATGTTATCTGCGGGAAAAATATACGGTATGCCATTTTTGCATCTCAGATGCTCAATAATTCAAAACCTTTCATTTTTTAACTTCATGTCTATTGAGATTTTTGATCATGCCACTAGAACTACAAAATATCAAAAAGATTAGTCCAAATCCACTGGCACCCTTAAGGTTTGTGTAGGGTTCTTTCCTTGAAAGAACAAATTATTTAAAAATTAGAGAATTAACTCTAATGATAAAAATAGGTAATTGACTAACAATTAAAATGCCATGATTTCTGATTTTTTAAAATTTTCTGCCTCATGTCTCTTCTTTTTTCAATTATAAGTTATTCAGTATTTATTTATTGAATGCAAAAAAAAAAAAAAAAAAAGTTTCATCAAAAATCAGTTTGTAATGGAGTTACTAATCCAAAAACCCAATATTTTACCTTTATAGTAACTTTTCATCTAAATCATTAAATGTCTGTGTAGTAAACCACATCACAAATAAAACAAATGCACTTATTTTCCTATTTTGTTGTTAATCCATATTTATATTCATGATATTAACATACTGTTGTAAATTTAGTATTATTACTGTATTTTCACAGAATGACTGGCATACCGATCTATCCAGAGAAAACATGAAATCAGATATATCTGTATGATAAAAACTGGCATACTGGTTTATCCCAGGGAAATACCAGCATGCCAGTTTAAGTGAGATTATACATTCCTCTCTAGAGGGCCTATTAAAAAAAAAAACAAGTTACGTCACATAAAAACAAACAAGTTTTTATTCTAAAACTGTAAAACTGTCAGCATTACGTCAAAAACTACGATTATACATTTAATTTCATTTTGTCTTCTTTCTAATTATGTAAAATACTCTTGGAATTCAGAAAGTGCTTTTTTTTATGTATATTTTATTGTTATTTGATTCGAAAATGCAAAAATACACATATTAAATTTAAGAAACTCACTGTAAATTATCTTAGCTTACACTTTTTAACATCAGTTTTTTGTGAAATTTGAGAGGAAGGTATTATTTTTAAGGTAGATAGTCAGTATAGCCTACACTAACTATTACTACTACTTTTAATGTCAATAAGTCATTAATTGTTTTATTGTCTTGTGAACAAAAACTCTTCCTGATTTTTAAGTCAGTCAAATTACAATGTTATTATTTTATTGTACTACGAAGAATGTTTATTTAATGTTTAATTAACAACTAGTTTTG